TATATGTTTTCTGTTCTTAACACCAGTTGACCTACAAGTATAGAATAAAATAATCCAAAAGATTATTTGCAGGGGCCCTTGCTTTGTAAATTGTTTCCAGAATTATAAAACATCAGTTCCAAGGGATAGAGGTGGTCTGGCTCCCCCTTGGCAGGCCATTCTCTCCCTCCCTGTACAATAATGCTCAGCAAGGTAGATGAGTATTTGGGGGTTGTGAGTTTTTTGGCTATTTCTTTCATTTCCGAACACTGCAAATGAAATAGAGGGTCAAATGCAGGTATTTTTTTGCAGAATAAATGTATGTAATTCGACCCACGTGCTGAAAACCTAGAGTAGAGCAGCTCCTAAATTTCTTTCACTGCAGAATTTAAAATTAAAATCATTAAGCAGAAGAAGAAAATAATATGGGAGAGGATCAAAACAGTCCATTTTGGCAATGCAGAGGTCGCTACAGCCCTGGTCTGTTTGTAGTCACAGGGGAGGTTGCAGCAGAGTCATGTTACACAAAACGTGCACTACAGTGGTTGGAGCTCAGAGTGCCTCTTGTGCCTCTCCCTGAATTTGCATTGGGCACAAGCACTTACAACATTGGTAAAAAGACATGGGAGTCAGAGACTTTTAGGAAATTTGCAGAGCTTGGGAGCAGGAAGGAGTGGGTAAGTGAAGGGAGGACAGCAGCAATTAGTAGAAGAAATGGACAGAGAGAAATCCAGAGTAGCTTTCCAGGCAGAAATGCACCAGTTTGCCAGGCAGAAAAGTACCAGTGGAAAGGGAGGGAATGAGGCCAGCAGAGGTGCAAAATGGGACTGGAAAGCATTTGTAATCTTTAATCAAGTCTTTCAACACTTTTCCACTCTACTGTGATTAATTTAACTGCTAGTCTGAGCTGGTTTGTATGTAGTGAATGTAAATGAGACCAGTGGGTTGCTAAGGTCTGTATCAAATGCAAAATCAAATGTCTGGTTCATGACAAATAACTGCTCTGGCTTGTCTGTGGAACTGACACTGTTTTACATAGTCAGGCATGAGGATCTTGATCCTGCCAGCACTTACAAACATAGCATCTTCATGTATGCTCCTGACTTCCTTAGAGCATATATAACCATGTGTTTGGATGTCAGGGCTAACACTTGGCTCTGAATTCTACAAAAAACTCATTGTAAGATGAAAAAATATAATCAGTAAATATTAACTTGCTAAGAACACTCCAAAACAGAGCAAGATCCTCAGAAAAAGTGCCATAATGAGACATTAACATTCTTTCTTTTTTTTCTCCAAAAATTACTTGTGTTTCACAGGTAGCTTTTTTTTTCTGTTTCTAATTTAGTTTAACCCATCATTCGAGAACTGAAAGGCAGAAAATCCCCACACATCAGAGAAAGTCTTACAAGATTTCAGAGGGAAACCTATTTTGCAACCAGTGTGATTTCCCCACCATGATGGTGAGCAAGCAGAGTAGCATTTTTAGTGTAGGAAAACTTGTATTTCATTTGCCCATGTGCACACTTTGCAAGTAGGTACCAGAGAAGGAAGGAGGACTAGATGAGACCCAGTACAGGGTCTTGTTTGAGTACACTATCTGAGTATGGCCCAGTGCCACATCCTCTCCAAAGCCCCCTTCCACTTTCCAAAATCAAGATGAGGCCAATAGAAACCAGAGCTGTGCAGCACCCCAGAGGGTCATGATCTTTTTTAACTGTAAGGTTAATTACAACAGACTGGAGAGCAAGGATACTGATGAATTGATTAACTGCTTATTTTGGATGATACATATGGGAAGACGTAGAAAATATATAAGAAGGGAAGGAAAATATGCTAGGCTGAGGCCATAAGCGAGGCCAATTCTTCAGTCACTTTGAACTGAACTCATAATTCCTTCCCTTAGTTTAAATAGTTATTTTAATAGTCCAACAACTGTCTTTTCTTGCCCTCAGCAGATCATTTTTCATTTGAATAGTGAATTTTTTGGAACTGAAGGAGAGATCAGATGTCAATCACTTTGTAAACTCAGGTACAGCCCAAGTGTGTCACACAGACACACTTCAACAATGTGTGTCACACAGACTGCACTCCTTTCTGCACTGACAGTGTTTTACCTCTTTTAGAGTCATCCCTGCCCATGAGGCAGGGCTAGGACTGAAGGTTACTGTGAAAGGACAGTCTTACTGGGAGAGCTGCTTGTGTTGTTTAGATTCCACTGGAAATGGGGGTGATACTGGAGGGCTCCCAGAGACCCTGGTGGGTGTGGGCAGTGGCAGAGCTCTGCCAGAGCAAGCACAATAGCTCATTTACTTTGTCACCCAACAAATTAGGAACTTAATAAAGATGGAAGAGTTTTGTGGTGGCAATTGACCCTCGTCAATGAAACAAGGAGCTCCCTCAAGTCCTACCTTCAAGCATTCAGTGCCACTCCACTCATGCTGTTTCACCTTGGGGTCCACAGAACCAACCTTGAGACAGCCCTGCCTTTCAGAACACCCTGATGGTGCTACTGCAGCAGGGTCATGGTGCCAGATGGCCTTGGCTAAACTGCTGAGTACCATGTGCAGTTTCTCAAACAAAGGTGAGAGACCACCCTTTGTTTCCAGGGCAGGCCCTTTGGAGTCAAAAGAATCAGTTGACAGCAAAAGAATCAGTTTATTGTGAAAGTGATCCCTTTCCCTGCCACCAAGAAAATCCACAAACACGTGGAAGGAGGAAGTTTTCAGCAAGAGCCCTAACTGAAATCTGGTCAGATTGCAAGCAGTGGCATTTGGCCACAAAGGAGGACTGTCCTTTAGGCTCACCCGTAGCCCACTGCCCCGAGGACAAGCTAGTTTGGTTCTTATATTTGTATTTCAGTGCTCTCTGTTTCACTCATGTATCCTAGACATAAACAACCCTTCATATTCAGACCAGGACTGACAATGCATGGCTTGCTATTTTAGCAGGAATATAACAAACTTTTGAAAGAAACTGAGAAGCTCTCACTTGCTTTATATGTTTTAGGATGATGGTGATTTATTAACAAACATAGAATTACTTTTTCTGAGTTTCAGGTGACAAACAAACCCTGGTACAAGTGTGCCGCAGGTCAAGGAGTGTCATTGCAAACGACTGAGTAAGAAAAGATCCCTTTTAAGGACAAACATGGAAATGTTTAGAAAATTAATGGGTGAATTAAAATACACCCTTCCAAGACTCTTCATATGATAAATATGCTGTCTCCATTAGAACCCTTGTGATTCCTCTTTGCCCACTTTAAAAGAGTATAAAAGCCTGATCACATTTTCATTAAAATCAAAGGCAAATATTTCAGTACTCTCTGCATAGGATGAGACCCTTATTATATTTCAGTAGCAATATTTTTCATTCTACAGAAGAAGTTTCTTAGGTTCTGCTTATGTTCTACTATTATTTAATAGGTGCGTTTCAGACAGAATTATGTGGATTCAAATATGGCCTTTCTGAGGGAAAGAATTGTAAAATTCCCCACCAAGAGCTGATCCTTGCCAACATTAGTAAAAAACTGACATTAATAAATAGGAACTGGTAGGTTATCTTTCTGAAGTAGCTTTGAGAGCTTCGATAACATTTAAAACTGCTGTAGATGGAGAACACATCCTGTCTGGCAAGATGAGGTGCAAAATATGCCACATGCAACCAGATGGCTTCACAAACTTGTCTGAAACAGCAGAAGGAGACCACCACTTTCTTCTGTGGCTGTAAGAACCTGTCAGCAAGGTCTTGTGCTGTGTAGGAACTATCACAGGGCTGGGCTGTGGAGTTTAAAAATCACTAAGCAGGCAACTGCTTAGGCAACAGAAGACTGATAGTATACTAAACTGTGGCTTTTTCAAGGCTTTTAGCTCTTGTTTTTTCAATGTTTTTTCTATGCTTCTGGTTTTATTGCCTTTTTTTTTGTTCCTCTGCTACTGCTATTAGAACTTTCACTTCTCTTTTTGTTGTTGTTTTTAAGAACCTGCTACCTGTAGTGTACACGCAGAAGTACTGTGCTGTGTATGGGAGTCTTATTCCGTAGCTGTGAATAAAGTGATCGTTCTTTTCTCAAGCCTTTTTCACCATCAGAGAGGAACAGCTGAGCAACAGGCCCAAAAGCACTGTGTGCTTTTAAGAGTGCTTCAGAAAAATACCCATTAAATCATTTAACAACAAGTTTTTTCAGCCTCAAAAATCAGAAATGGCAGTCTTGAAAACACAAAACCTCTTCTTGTTTGGATCCCTGCACTGTGAATCTGAAGAAGTGAAACTGAGAGTGTTCAAAGCAGCCAAGCGATGGCTCATGTGCCAGGTGTGGGACTGGGGTTGAATCTGTCCTCGTCATACCCCTGCAGCTGGGGTGGTCCTTAGGAGCCCAGGTGGTTTCTTTCCAGTTCTCCACTTCCCTAAAGAGAAGCAGCTGCTTTTCAGCTGCCTGCATTCTCTCTTGGACAGGATATTTAAGGCTTATATTGGAAGCCTGGAAGACGCTGGTGCGCAAAAGAGTTTTCCTCTAGTAAGGAACTAACTTTCCCAGCCACCCTTCCCCAACCTCCCTTGTTTCAGGGACTGGCTGCAGCCAGGATAAGCTGTCTCCCAATAGCAAGCATTATGCTAGAATGTTTTATTGTTCAATAGCATTAAGCTTTATCAGTGTGAATTGGCTCCCAAATGCGTATGGCAGCCTAGACTGTTCAGCAGTCATGATGAATAATAGGAGGATAAAGGCAGTTAATTGAGGGGAAATCCCCTCACACAGACAAAGAAAATAGATTTCTACTAAATAGCCAGCACATGGAGGGCAGTGCAAACTTCCCTGAGGCAAAACCTGACTCTTTTACTCTACCACAGCGCCAAAATAATTCCCAAGAAGCAAAGGGATTTTTGTTAGTGTAGCTGCAATTAGAAGCTGGGCTGTCCCTCCCAGACTCCAAACAGAAAAACACATCCAGTCTTTAGACTTTGTACTGAATGACTCCCACATGCTTAAGAGTTAGAAATTAGAAATTTCCTCATGTGAGTTAGAAATTTTCTTTGTTAAAAATGAAGTGTACTCCTCGTGGGTCAGCTTCTGAGTTGCTGATGCTCTGCTTGTTGAGTGTGTCAGCTAGGCCCTCAGGTCCACAGAGAAAAACACCTATTCTGGAGCTGTTAAGAAAATGAAAATATAGTCAGAAACTAGGTATGCAGCAGCTGAATGTTCTTCATGTAAATAATTTTTATGTTCTATAGATGCAAGGGTTTTATTTTTTTCTCAATTACAGGAACTAAAGTAGAATTGGATGTCTCTTTCTTAAAATTTATAACCCCTTAAAACCTACTGCTGCTTCTAAAATAATGGTGGGCTAAACCTTAACTCAGCAGAAGTCAGTGAAAACAGCTTTATCAACCTCACTGGATCAAGGAAATAGAGCTTCAAAGATCTTATGGCACAAATTATTGAGAGGAGCTGCCTGGTTTTTTCCTACTAATTTTAGCTGCTTAGTTAAAGGTTATCCATATTCAGGTTTTGTTTTTAGAAGTAGAAAGTGGTTTTGGAGTTATTTAGACATCACCTCTCATTCCTATCTACTTCAGCTGAAATGATGGGGTATATTTTTTTCCTAAATCTTCTGCTAGTAATTATGCACTCCAAGAAGTACCTGACCAAAAAAGGATGATTTTTTTTTTTTTAATTGTAGGTCAAAACACTTTGGTCAAGGTCATAGATCATGTTCATTGCTGAAAAGAGAATAGAAGATATCCTGGAGATTGTTAGAAAAAAAATATGCTCCTCAGACTTTATCAGCCAAAGGAACGAGATTGTGCTGTATGGCATTTAGATAGAGGAAGTCCTTAGACACTATAAATTTGCACAGGTTTACCCAGGGTGCTGCTCAGCAATAGTTTTGAACTCATTTTCCCAGTTAGGTCTTCCATACAAGGTTTTTTGTTTAAGGCCTGTAATCACATCTTTTTCTTCTTCATGATGCACCACGAAGTGAGTGGCCTGTGGGAAATGAAACACAAAGGACAGTGTAAAGATAGAGGTAGATATGGCAGCATCATGTCTTGTTAAAAAAAATAAGAATGTCAATATTGACTGAATTATTTCCCAACCAAGAATATGGAATTTATGGGGTTTTGAAAGGAAAGCTAACATTCATAAAGTCCTGACCATCAGTGTCTACCCATTCCTTTTCCCCACACTGGGTCATCTCAAGAGTTAAAGCTATGAAACACTGATCACAGAAATCAATTACATTTCTTTTGCGATGAACTGTTTTGGTCTAAGAATTCTAAAATAGAGCTGCAAATTAAAGCAAAAGTTTCCCTTCAGGTACAATAATACAACTTCCTTGACTGTCATGAAGTCTTGCCAGTTTGCTCTCTGGAAGGTTTGATCCATATGAAGCCTTGCCTGTGTAACTTTCACCTAGACCAGCTAAGTTGAGTAAAGCCAGGAAGAGAAGATGTGGTTAAGGGCTTAAGTTCAGGCCTTGTTGAGTTCTGCAGAGCTTTTATGTGAGGAAAAAAAATATTACAGGTAACTTTCTACCCAAGCAAAAATTGTGGGACTTTTCTTCTTCCCTTTCTGTTTTTTAACACTGCACATGTGATAACATCCTACCTGGCTCCTCCACCTCCCTCTCTGTCCAGCTGAGCCACAGCACTGTAGGCACATGGTGAATTTTGCAACAGTGAGATGTAACTAAATTAAAACCTCACTAAAAGTAAGAGTCTCCTGACTCATCACACATTCTCAAGTGGCTGCTCCTTTGTACCCTCACAGCAATCTACAACTGTGGGACCAAATAGGGCACTCGTGAGAGTCCTGAAACAAATATGCTGCTATTGTTCACCCTTTGTGCATTAGCTTCTCTGGTCCCAAATGCTGTTAATTATATGCTTTAGGCAGCATTAACTGTTTTAGAGATACTTTCATGGTCAGCTGAGGTTGCTGCTGTGAGGAAAGCCTGCTTCCCACATTGCACAGCCAGAATAAACCAGATAGGATGTCAGAGTGCACATTAGTTGCTCATCCCATGTAACTCCTGATGGATAATACCTGTCTGCACTCAAAACCTCTGAGAGACAGATGAATGCCCAGGATAAAAGACCATTTGAACATTTATCAAAACAGACTTGCTAAGACTAACACCAGTGCATGTAGCAGTGACATTTTCCACTGTGTGTTTACCTGAGTTTCATCCCAGCCTGTAAGGTAGATATTATAGCTGAGAAAATCTGCGTTATTCCTCTCCTGCATTTGGGCCTCCAGAGATTGCAAGAGGTCAGCAAACCATTCAAAGGCATGAGTGTCCCTGCAAAGCCAGTAAAAATAAATCTGGAAGAGACAAGAGTGAGCTGTCAGGGGATATAGGCACTTATGGTTTCCGAGTTTATATCTGCCAACAGAGTGAGGGTTGTGGAGTTCTTGTAGAAATTGTCCCAACCACTTCAGTAGATGGGTAGGATGCTGTTGAATCTGTTCAGGAGTTTTAAAGCTGGAAGGGTTGTAAAGCTGAATGACTGACTGCAAGAACAAGGAAATATCTTTCTATTTCTCTTCCACATTTTTAGTTCACGATGTTTCCCTACTTACATCCTTGTAAAACAGTTTGTTAGGACATAAAGAAATGATTTAGAGGTGAACTCTCTTTCTGCCTGCTGGCAGGCAAGATAAAGTAGATAACAAAACCAGTTCTGTTCTCTGAATAGGACCATAACATGACCCCACACCTCTGCACAGGGAGTTTCCAGGGGCAGGAGGGGAGAGGAGGATGGTAGCTTTGCTCTTCCACTGATAAAAAGTTGTTCTCTTTGTGGCTTGGGGAAGGAATGCAATATTTGCCCAGGCTGCAGTAGTGCCTCAGACTTTGTGTTCCTCAAGCAGATTGAACACCATCTCCAGTGCCACAGTGGAAATCCCCAGGGCCACAGTCAGTGTGTACATTTGCTCATGGGCTATTTCTCCTTTCATTACGCTTTTGCTTTTGATCCCTCCTGCTAACCTTGTGAGGCAACTGGACTCTTTCTTCTTTTGAGACTCACGTATATCTGGAGCCAGATCACCATTGCTGTGCCTATTTTGATTTGGGCTCTTGGCCCATGAGTAGTTACATGGGTTCTGGGGATGAGGACACATACCTTCTTGAGTTTTAAGTTGGTCGCATCGTGGCAGTATTTGTACCACACAGACTTGAGCACAGATGCAAAGGGGGTGACCCCTATTCCAGCTCCCACAAGCATAACAGTTTCATAACTGAACACGTCCTCACTCGCTGTTCCAAAGGGGCCATCCACAGCTATCCTGAAATTGAAAGTATGTTCAATAAATCAATAATGAATATTTATTAACATCATTTAAAATAACAGTAAAAAGGTATTTGTCTGCTACAATGTATATTTGGACTGAATACTAGTCAGCAAAAGGAGAGGTGGAGTTGATAGAAGAAACTGCAAAGAGCCACTTAAGGCCCATGTCTGTGATGAAAGTAGTCAAGGTTTTATTGCTAATATCACCAAACTGGTTGAGCAAACTTTAAACTGTCATAGGTGTTTGTTAACTTTACCGCAGAGATTCTTTGTACATACTTGGGCAACTTCCATGCCTCCTGGAATTCTTGTTTATCACATCCACAGGCATTGAACAAGCCCTCTGTCCAGTCTCCCACAATACGGACATGAATGCTGAAATAATCCTCTTCTGGAGCAGAGGTTAATGTAAATGGATGCCATTCCAGTCTAGACACAGCTGGACATTTGACAAAAATGTATTGTCCAACCTCCATCCTGAAGCCTTTTTTCATCATCTGGAGCTCAATTGTCTTGAAGGGATGAATGACCACCTGCAGTGAGAAGGACAAGGGAGAAAAACGGGAAAAGACAACGTCTGTGTTCGCTGTTCACTGGATATATCAACATCTTCCATCACTGTCATCATCCTCTGCCCTGAGAGCAAGGGAAGCAGGTGAAACTGTCTTCCCAGCAGAACTGAGAGTGAGGAACAGCACCTGACAGCCTGGAGAAGATGCTGATTTTTTGGTTGAAATAGTTTTTCACACCACGCTTGGAGTCCCTCCAAAAGGGACAGGCCAGACTGGGACATCTTCTAACACATCACCAGATCTACAGGTGCACGTTGTTAATTCCAGATGCACCTTACACAGTTGCACAGAGCACATTGTTAATGGACCTGACTTTAAATAAAGGGGAAAAAACATAGAGCTATCATACAGATAGGGAATTGGATAGGTAACACCACTGGAAACTGATGCTTTCTTGTTATTGTTGGGTTGGACCTTGGCTATTTTTTAGCCAAGAATAAATAGAAGCAATGTTCTAGGAGCAAGGCTAGTAATTGCTAGTAATTCTGCCACTGTGATTTTTAAATTCTAAAGTTGTCTGCCAAAGTTATTTTCATTTTTCAAAAGAGAATTGCAAGCTAAACTTCCTCCTCTTGCTCCCTTTTAGAGGATGTTAGAGGTTTGCATCATGACAGCAGTCAGAACGTGCCTTTCACTGGCAACTTTGTTGTGTAGGAGCCTCTGGCTTTGCTGCACCATTTGGAAAATAATGGTAGTGTTTTGCCTGGTGTTAGGTGTGTGGCATCAGCACATACCTTTGTGATAACAACCTTCTGCTGTGACCTCCAAAACCGCACCAACCGCTCACACAGGTACAGAAACATGGGACCTACTACCCACTTCCATGTCTGTAAGCAGAAAACAATAAGTCAGGTGATGAAAATCATAGAATCATAGAAAGGTTTGGGTTGGAAGGGATCTTAAAGATCATCTAGCACCAACCACCCTACTGTGGACAGGGACACCTTCCACTCGACTAGATGTGTATTAAATCAAATCCTGGAAATGCTACAAGAAGAGATGAAGTTCAAGTAATCTGGGTTCCTTATTAGCCAGAGTTGGGAACCCTTAAGGTATATGACACCTTCAAAATTCTGGTCAGAGAGTTACAGCTGGCTTTTTAGTTTCTACCAGAGTTACGGCAAGGTGTTTTCCTACAAGCAATTTTGTCCCTGTCTAAAAAAATAAGGTAACAAATTGAAAGGTGGAATAAAACTCTAAATGTATTATTGACTCAGGTCTGTATTACTGCAGGAAAATATGTGGTTTCTGCTAACAGATCAGTCTGATATGTGAAAGAAAAACCAGGTTGGTTAGTCAGTAAAAGCTGAAGTTTCAATGTCACATTTCCAGAGGCATTAATTTTCTGTTAATGATCCATTAATAATCTGAAACTATCTGTTATGTGATTCTAGAAAACTCTGGAAGACACTGGTTACTTTTTGGATATACAGTTCTCAGATACCATTTGCTCATTTGCTTTGCCTGTTAATTGTGCTCATTTTAGGGCACAATGAAAGTGGGTTGCCTGTCTGTCTATCTGCCTGTCTGTCTGCCTGCCTGTCTGCCTGTAGTCTTACTTCTGCTTATCATCCATTGTGTTGAAATCTATTTCTTCATGTAAGGAAAGCTGCCACTGAAGAGCACTGAGGGTTACATGGCTGATTTTCTATGCAAGTGCACATATTATTTAAGAAAAAGAGTAAACTGTAAACATTTTCGATTGGATTTACACTCAACTCAACTTTTCTTACCATAGGAGGATTCCCTGAAAACTGGGGGATTGGGCAAGCCCCTTCCTTCCCCCAGTGAGTGAAGTTCTTGTAGCAAATCTCTGGATTATGTTCAGCCAGACTCTCAGCTGTCTGGCCCCGTACAATACGCCTGGAAAAAAAGTAAAGATCATTAAGGCAATGAAATTAAAATGAAGGTATCTGTCCCTTACTCTTATTCTATTTATGTACTACTCTATTTATATTGAGTTGTGGACTACTGCACTGCTATAGCTTTGATACAGCTTTACTGCTCTAATCAACCCACAGAATTGCTATTAAAGAAATAAAAATGGGGAGGAAAGTTTGTGAGAGAAAATACTGATTTCAAGATTAGAGTTCTGTCCATTGCCATTTCCAGGATGTGGTCACAATAGGAGAGCTTTTTTTCTTTTCTGAGTTATCCTGCTTTTTTCTTCAAATAAAAAAAAACAAACCAAAACCAAATACAAAAAACCCCAAACAAACAAACAAAAAAACCCAACCAAAAAACCCCATCAAAAATCTCAAAAACTGGAGTGGACAAGCAATCAATTTTCTACTGACCAGTACAGAGATTATTTCTATTATCTTACAAATTTGGAGAGCCCTTTCTGACATATATTCTTGCTTTGACCCTTCCTCTCCCTCTAAAGCTGTGAGGCAGCCATTCAGGTGGTGTGAGTGAACACAGATACTTCTGACACAAAGCAGCTATGTCAGCTACACCAGCTTGCATCAGCTGATTATCTGGCCCCTATAGTCTTGCCTGGTTAGGGGTTTTTGTGTTGTTGTTGTTTGTTTTATTATAGAGAATTCTGACTGATCCAGCTGTATTTCCAGTGGCAGAACTAGTGCTGAGAGACAGTTTCAATTTCGAGGGTAAAAAGTGTATTCTGATCTTGTTCACTATTTGCTGCCTCTCTCTGGAGTTCTGCCAACCTCAGGGGCATGTGAGAGTCCCAGAAATGATGGTAATCAGTAGGTAAGTATCATAATAGAGAAATTCAGATTAGATCAGCTGATTTTCCCTAGAAACAGTCTGATTCTAATCAGGCTGTTTAGTTTTATGTCTAGGTAATTCTGTTGATATCTTCTTTCCATGACTTCCCTTTCTGCTTTTCTAGCTCAGTGTCTGTGAACTAGACTACATTTCTGATATTTCGAAAAACTCCCGTGGTATCTAAGTCACATGCCTGCCTATCTTTAGGTGACAGATTTATCAAGAAAGAAATACAAGAAAACCTGTGTACATTCTTGAAAATTTAGATATTGCACTGCTCATAAATATTACTAATGAACCTCTTCCACATTAAAGGTTTGATTAATATCCTGCCTGGAAAAGAAAGGGAAGCAGTGACACTGTCCCAGGAGCATCACGAGTTGCAGTTTGCAGGAACATCAGCAGTTGCAATTTACTTCCCCACTAATGACAGTGGGTTCAGCTGAGCCGCCCTCTGGGATGAGTTACGGGAACAGGAGGAGCCCATTTCCGCCTCTGTTCACCCCATTGCTTAAGAGAAAGGGGGCCTGAGAGTTTTTGCCTTGCCCTATGCTCTGTTCAAGGTTTGAAAATGCCATTACCCTGTGCAAGAGAAAGAAAAACTTATTTTCCCTTATTACTCGGTGTAGATACTCTTCTGGTACTGTAATTCAGCTTTCAGTGGTGTAGCCTTATAATGACTTCTTTTTTTGGCTGAAAGTCTTTCTTCAGCTTCCATAGCAGAGTGAACTGCACCTCTATACTCTCCCCTATTTACATTTACAGTGATGGGAAATTGGGAACATTTGTCCGTGAAACATAACTCATGCACAAAAAAAATCAGTGCTATAAAAGTTCTATAAGAGCTTGTACCAGACAAGAATTTGCCCCTTTGATTCTAATAGTAATATTTTGTTCAGTTTTCTGTTAAAAAAAAATATATATGTGCGTATGTATATATACATACATGTGACAGTCTTCTGTCTCCTGAGATAAACTGACATCTGTGCCTCTTTATGACAGCACTGTGTAATAACTACTGGCAAGTTTGGACATTGTGTCAATAACTCTACAATATTTGCTGCAGAAAACATGAATCATTTGTTCTTTTCCTTCAGCAGGTTTTGCTTAAAACTTCTCCTTGTTTTGAAAGTTGGAATGGACAAATAGTTGGGGTGATCCCCATCTGCCTTCTATTTTTGTTCTTCCTGTTTTACTTTCATTTCTGTCTTTTTTTATGGCATTACTGGAATGAAAGGAAGTGGTTTTGAATAGTCAATTTTCACTGAGCATTTTTCAAGCATGCTCTCTAATGCACCTAGAATTTCCTTTTAAAAGGACAAAATGTAGTGTAATTATGAACTACAAAATGTGGCTTGGATACTTGAGTCTTTCTTTTTTTCTTTATTTACAAGTTCTTTGGTTCTATAAAACGAAACTAAAGTTCATTTTTCTAAGGGATAAAATTGGCGCTAAAACTGTTTCATAAGGCTTTTCAGCTATTTCACAAGAAGAACAGTGGAAAAAGATGTTTGGCATTTGGATGTTAGAAAAACTTACTGTATTTGAGCTGCAGCAGCTAAAAATCTATTCTTAAATGCTACTGATATTAAAAGTTCATCCAATCTGAAACATAACTCTATATCTGTGATTACTATAGTTTTCATTTACCCAACAAAATTCTAGACTCTGTATAATCTTTATACTGAGATGTCCTTACATGCATGTGTGTGACGCAATTTCTTTCAGGAGAGAAAAATAAATTAACAATTAGAAACAAGAACGTTGGAAAAGAGCTTTACAATTAAGACATCAGAAAAAGCTGAGTGTCATTGAGCTGTTTGCCAAAATATCATAAAACCTCGTGTGTGGACAGCTTGTTGCACCTATCAGTGAGAGCCTCTTGGTTCTCAGAGCCTGTATTGGCCCATCACTTTGGTTGGCACACCAAAAATAACTGCTGCTCAGTGACTGAAATCCTATACTCATGCGTGTAGAGGGCTTTAAATTAAAATAGTGTAGTTATCATGTATTTTGTGATAAGCACAAATACTCACCCAGCACCATGGATGACAAGGCCAATGAAGAAGATGACAAAGAGATGGTGGGTGTACCAAAATACTTCAAAATACGACCTTCGGATGGTTTTGGTGGATGATGTGATGATTAGAATGAGGGCCAGCGTGATGATAACGCCAGTGAGACCTGCCAAGTACGTGAAAGCCACATATAGGCCCCCCACAGGATTCTGTGAAATAAATGTACGTGTTGGTCTAAAGAAGGGGTTGCATCAAAGCAGAGCCAGTTGAACCATCACTAACCAAAACCTGTACCTTGCTACAAGTCTGAAATCCACCCTCTGTGAATTTGTATGCCAGCAATGCCGAAATCCCACTCCAGTCAGAAGACTGCTTTGCAGGATATTTGTTTTTGCATAATGATTTTAAACTACTTTGAAATCCTTAGGTGAAAAAGTTCAAGGTGCCACCAAAATTTAGCAACACTATTCTTGACAAATATAGAGAAATTAATTATACAAGGTTTTGCTGCAAGATTGCCCAAACCCGGAGTTTGTACACCAGATATAGTCACTCTAGTCTTATATGATCATCTAAACAAATGCAATAATGATTTCAGAGCCTAATTTCACGTACCCCAATAGTTTGTCTAAAAAAGTTGATGTAGCTTTCGTGTGGTTTATCACCAAGGCTGGAAAGTGCAGCTGCCAGAGTTCCTTTCTCTTCAACACGGGCTTGCACACTCCACTCTACGTTGAATAAGTGTGCGATGGTGTGAATTGCTGGGAGTGACAGGAAACGAATAATCAGCATTAAGCACAAGTACTCGGTGGTTTTGAGTTACCTTTGAAACACTGTCACGTTTGTCAACTGCAGCTTTAGTCCTTTGCCATTCTCACCCTCCTCGTCACAATTTCAGATCACTGATGTGTTTTACTGTTAAAGCTTTACCACCTGAAGTTTACCAATTTTGCATGAGTAAGAAGTAAAGGGAAGTTTCCAGCATGCCTTTGTTTAACATAAGTTTTCAACAATGTACCTTAATACATGGGAAACTGAAGCATGGGATGTCTTAAATTATTTGTCAGGATCATCCTCATCCAGGGTTTATGTAGAAGTGCCAAGAAGTGAATCTGGATTTCTTTGGGGTGACATTTGTTCCTTTATATTGTTAATAATCAATAACAATATTCTAGCTGGGCTGAATGCATCAAAAAACCTTAAACAGCTGAGGTGTTTCACACTAATTCTACTACAGGTTATTGCAGGGGTAAAGCTGTACAATGCTTTACAAAAGTTGTCCCCTCTCAAATAAGCAGATACTTATTCACCCTCAAAACAGATACAGATCAAACAGCCTCAAACAATCCTCCTCTGCTGCAGATCTCCTCTGTGGCCTGATGTTAACTGCATCACCCTGCTCCTTTCCTATGAAGTGGTGCTCAGATTTCAACAACAGCTCAGAAAGGAAACCTGCTCAGCTCAAGTAATGTGCTGATACAGGGACTGTTTTAGGATGTGTGATTTGTAAGGTACTTGCATTGAGAAGTGAGGAATTTGATGGAAAAAAAGGTAGAAACCCCTTAGTTTAGGAAATGAGAGATAAAATATAATAAAAACATTTTCATGGCCAGTCTACATTTTTTATACCTTTTTTTTTAATAATTATTTTTGTTATTTGTTTCAGAAATGCCAGCTAAGAAATAAGTCTAAACAACAAGGATTCAAGCCAGGATACCTGGCTCTCAGGGCATTGCTAAATACACCTTATTAAACTGTCATAAATCATGCTGATTGCTCAAAATAAAAGTATTCTTTCTTGTTTATCTTTTGCTCTCTGCCAGTTGATAAATACTTGGAATCTGATTTAAGCTTTGGCACACACTGAGTCCTTTAGGTTAATGAAATCAGGTTGCTTTCCATATCCTTAAGAACTTGAATCCCACTTAGATTCTGTGCAAAAAATGCACAAGAAAGCTACAAACAAAGAAAGGTTAGAGTACCAACCAGTATGAAGGGCGATCATCCATGCCACCATTTTGTGAAAGGTGAGGTTCCTGTCCAGCTGTCGTCTGATACGGGTAGAGCAGCACTTTAGGTATGAAGAAAAAAAACATATTTGAAGGCTGTTTGTGTTGTCTGTGCATACTTTTTCAATGCAGGGACAAAAACAGTGACCCTGAGCACAAAAATTGGCACTGCTAGGAGAAATTAAGAATTCCTAGATATAGTAAAAAATATTTTACCCCATACTTCAGAAAATGGAAATAACAGATTATTTTTCAACATGTCTCACTGAAACAAAGTGTTTGATAATGAGAAAAAACTTTACATCCAGTAGGACAAATGTATATATCTTATCTGTGTTAAATTACAGGCTATAAACAGAAGGAAGGATCACAGTCTACCATGGCAGACTCTCAAGTTGCCACTCAGCATCAGGATCCTACAGTTGTGGTTCATGCTGTAGAAATGGACTGTAAAGTTTGGGTATAACTGTCTCAGAGAGCTCCCATCCCAAATGTGCCAGTCACTTATGGTGGTAATATAAAGGGATTCCTTCCATAAAATACTGAGTGTACTTGCAGGAATTCACTTACAACTTGTTGTTGGAGTAACCCAAAAAGAAACAGACAGAAAAAATCTCTGCTGATACAAATCAAAGAATTTGGTTCTTAAGAAAAACAGAATGATATTTTCATGAAGAATGATGATGGGTTCCTAACAGGCTCCATCTGAATTGTGCTGCAGTCACTGGGAGTCTTCCTAGAACTTTAAGTTCCTGTAAAGCTGGCATTTGCTGTCTCCACATAGTAGAAGGCATGATTATCATGTGTTGTAGCTTTGTATTGGGTTTGCTGGCTGGCCAAGGGAAGTAAACACTTTGTAAACCAACACAAACATTTCCTCACAAGATGCAAACACCCTGGGGCTGTTGCAATGATTTCTGTAGACTATAATATCAGCCAGGAGAAATTTGGCTGTCTCCGTATCTTGAGACAGAACTAAAAAGACTGTGAAATAAAATGTAGCATGAAGTCCCAGCTGGAGTAAAACACTCAGTGCTTGGAATCGGGTTTTAACCTTTCAGTAATCTCTCAGTATCTTCAGATCTTTCACTGCTTTGACCTCAGATCTCTGCCCAACCCACTTTCAGATCGACCTCTGTGGAATCTCAAGAAGGTCTTGACCTCATCATTTTCCAGTTGCATTTGTCTTGTCCAATAGCAACCTTATTTCTTACTAAATTTATGTTCATCATTGACTTCTGAATCCTGGGGAGTCAGCTCTGAATTTTGGCAGATACTAGGTGATCTATCTCAGGTCAGGGAAAGAACAGTTTTGGACCTACAGTTTTATTTACTCTGCTCTTTCCTTTTACATACATGGAGGGTATGGTTGTCTGCTTTTGTAGCAGTCCAGAATATGAAGGAGTATAGGAAAAGACTGAAAACCCAAAGTGTGTGGTTCCAACTTCATATTCCTAAGTGTTGTGCCTTAGAAAGTCTAGTGCACTGGCCTGACTCCTAAACATAATTTAGGAGCTTAATGTGGCAGGTACATCTCGTTTATTCAGCCACGCTTATTTTCAGGATATATGTACTAGACGGAGAAACAGCCTGGGTTGTCTCTGATTATTTTCTTATTATTTCACATCTCACTCTCTTCCCTTATGAAGGACTCTTGAAACACTGCGTCTATTTTACCACTTCCTCTTCTGCTCTGCTTTTTTGGCCCCCACAGGCTGTCTCATTGGCATGAAAGAATTCATACTTGATTTAGAGAGAAAAACCAGCTTCTGTGAACTGTTTTTGTTGATCATGTGTCTATTAAAGTGGTCAGAAGAAAAGGAGGAATCATTATACATTTGGAAGGACAGTTCATGAGCTTGAGAATATTTTTTTTCACTGGATCATGGCCTGCATTGTCTGCACTATTTCTGCTGTAATAGCCTGAAGTCTTGATTTTGGCAGTGTGATACAGTCAGTACTATCATAGGAACCTCTCCAGCTGTCACTTAGAATCACCTGTGGTTTTCTTAGTGATGGCTCCTTAGTGCTGAGTGTAACATCTGCGTTTGGGAGCTAGAAAAGGTCAAAAGGCTGTGAACTGTTTCATCCTGAGATGGAAACACAACTCAGACCAGAAAGAATGTAACTTATGAACCAGCTGAAAAAAAGTCCCATTCTGAAAGTCTGTGAAAAACTACATTTCTCTTAGGAACTGACTATGGAAAGATGGCAGACATGGGCTAACACCTCCCTCTCTAAGTGGGTTTTGCATCAGTGACAAACGATGTGAATGTGTGTAAGCACCAACAGCCACCCCCAGCCAAAAGAGGGACTTTGCATCCAGGGCAGCACCATTCCCAGGAGGCAGCAAAAAACAGAGAACTAATTCAAGGCTAAACCTCTCAACAGAGCTCTAGATACACCATGGGCAGTAGACCTCAGTCTTGCTCAAAGTAAAACTCCAGGCTTATTTGCTTCTTAAAAGAGGACATCCCCAAAGTGTGGTATATTTGGGGAACTTGGACAAAGTTTCTCGGCATATTTGCAAGGCTGTTCAGGTTAATATCTTTCATAAATTTTGAAATATTTTCTTCATCTTACCGCACTTGATCCTCTGAGGAAGGAGAGCAAGTTTCGACATACTGGCAGCAGAATCAGCATGCAATTGAAATTCAGGCAAGCTGCAGGAGCCCTTGCAAGGGCCAAGGCACGCTGTAATTGGAGAGAGGCTGTTATTAAATGCACTGCCTAAGACATTATCTAGGACACAGATAGGCACAAATATAATTTATTTATTATATCACAACTCATAATGAGTGTGAGATCTAGAGTTCACGTTAACAACATGAATGTTCACATTTCCCAGTAACCGTGCTCTGGTAAAGTCAGAGACACGTGCAGGCAGAACATGTTCCTCCAGACAGACACCTTCATTTTTGAAATAATACGGTTGTATAAAAAGCTCCCTGTCATGTCTGGCAATCAATAGTCAAACACAGATGCAAATCTAAACCATTAGTAGAGTTTTGTGTCCTGAGGCTGTAACGAAAGTCTCACAGCTGTTGTTTCAGTTTGACTGGGGGTTATGGTAGATGGAGAGCTTATGAGGGAAGTGGCTTAAGTTCTCTTTTGTCAGCAAAGGGAGTCTAAGGAAATTTCTTGCCTTGTCTTTTAGGAATCTGTTTCCTTAATGTTGGTTTTCACACCCTAAATTATTTCAGATTTTTGAACAAAGACTGTTTGAAATGAGGGAATATCGATCATATTAATCCAAACACAGTGAAAAGAAGGACAAGATAATATTTGCTCTCCTTACATGGACTGAGACCCTTTAAGGTTTCAGACCACAGCTATTGACTTGGGGTTACACTGAGCCCTACTTGTACAAGCACAGGTCTCTGTGACTTCAAAGGCAACTACACTATGATTGCAAAGGACAGGATTTGGAACACAGATCTGAAGCTGTATGCAGAATGAGATTTCATGCTTTGTTGAATTAAACCATGGCTTTGCAAACCTTTGACAAAACCCTGTGTTCTATGATTTGAAGCTTAGGCTGCTTTTCATGTCTGTGATAAGGGTTTTAAAATATGTGAACAAATTAATTTTCCCTGTCAATTGGTCATGACCCGTTGTAGCTTTGGAAGCAAGTTTTTAGTAGGACACATAATGCTGCATTAACCAGCTGGATTATATTGAATAGCCCAGGATCCAGGATCACTTCACAACTTGACTGTAATTCAGACACTTGATGAATATGTGAATAATGATTGGTTTTCAGTGCTGATATCTTTGTAAACTATTCATGCTCTGAAAAATAATTGCAAGGGAAAATAATTGCACAATAGCTCAATGGCAATATTTTATTCAACTTTTGCTTAATAAAGCAGCCACAATTAACATTCACTTTAATTACCAGGAGCATAATAGCTACCCAAAAGCATGTTTGGAATGGGATCTCTCTATTTTGTGTACCAGCTTTCTCTTCAGAAGCACTTGACATCTGTCTGCATTCAGTTATCTGTTTGCATGTGACTTTTAACTCCTACATGAACATACTGCTCCAACCACTTGACCCTGTTTCAATCAAATAGAACTAGGCAAAAATACTGTGCTCTGTCTATGCCAAGAAAATAATGTCTTGTACTTACGCCGAGGAGTACTCTGGTGTAGAAGAATTTTGGTGGGACATCATACACAAGATAGTACCACCAAAAGAGGAAGACATTTAAACCCAGCCACACAAGCTGAAAGAGAATTAAACAGGAAGATAACAGTTTGTTCTTAGAGATCATCCATCTGAATTTACACAACTTAGATAATGGTCAATTAGTTCCCTGTGCTTCTGTTTGCACTGAAAGGTGTTCTGCAGGGTATAAATGTTTCAGCAGGGGTGATAGAAATTTTTCTGGTGTAAATAGGCTCTGATGTGTGCACGCAGAGCACAGGAGTGGCAATGAATCAAAATACAGCAATGTGTGGCTGAAACTTTTGCATAGCTCAAGGAGTTTACACATTAATTGCAAAAGGACCATGATATTACAGGTGTTTAACTAATTTTGTGAGTAGTTGAATCTGCAAACAAGATTAAAAGTTCGGGACTTAATGGCTGTTCCTCAGGCAGTGCCAAATGGCAGTTCCTCAGGCACATTAACCTGCGTATGAGGAAGACTTAGGAGCTGTGACAAAGGACAAAGAAGCTTGAGATCTAAACACAGATAGCCTAAATTACACCTAGAGCTGAATTGAAGAGGAGGCTTTGAGGGTCTGAAATCAGCCATCAGGAAATATTAAATATTGGCAGCATGCAGACTAGCCAACACTGGGCTTCCTCGTAGCTTCATTGCAGAATTTTCTCACACTTGCCCATCTCATGGTGCAAATTTTCTCAGGTTTCTTTAGCAAAAGACAAGTTATCAACTCGTAGGTCCATCTGGGCAAAAAGATCATCATGAACCTGGGCGATTGTCCTCCTGGAGCTGGTTGGCTGATTTCATATCCCATATCGAAAAAAACCTGCACCAGTGCACACTCTGTCTAAGTAGGTTTACTGAGTGGTGCATGAAAACAGAGTAAGTTTGAGAACTGGGAGAAAACCCAGTCTCTGGTTAGAAGTTAAAGATTCCAGAACCTGTGACATCACAGTCCCTCACCCCTCCTAACCCTAGTTATCCTAATACATTTTGCTAGTGGTTTTGACCCAACTGACACTATAAAAAAAACTGAGGACTAGTTCAGATCTTGAAAACGTAAATAAATGCTGGGAAATGAAGGGATTTCCACCAAGGTAAGGCAATATACAGGAAATCCCCAAGTCCTCATTAAAACACGATTAATCTCAGGATTAAATGCTCAGGGTACACTCTCACAGACTGACTTTAAATAAATATCCTAAGCATTTAAAAGACCAAGATGCTTGGCCTCATCTTGATGGTCTTTTACAGTTCTTCTGGGTGTTAAAGTCATATGAAACATGGATCCTTTGAAAACACTGTGACACCCTCTGGCAGCTTGGGTAGAGTTGCAGTCAGCCACGTCTTTGACCAGAGCCAGTGGTGGCAGCACAGGATGGGGTTCAGGCTGACATGTTTCTGCTCTGTTGAGGCACATCTGTAGAAATTGTGTCGGTCCTGTTTCTGTCAAGCACTGGACAACCCTGTACATGGTCAGTGTGCAGCAAAGCTGCAGAGGCCAAAGCAGAACCCTTCAGGAAGGCTTCCAGTGATCTGTCCTTTCAGCTGGTTTAATCAGTGTCTCCGTAGGTTTCCTTATCTATTAGCTGACCTTGTTATAGCTTTGAGGCTCTAAACCCAAATTCCTTATTTGAACAAAATAAAGGCCTCTTACTTAATTGTTTTAATATTTCAGTTCTGGTGGTGGAAAAAAAAAAGAAAAAGAAAAAGTAAAAATTCACCTCTTGGCAGTTTCAACTTCCTCACTGAAGGTGACAGCAAACCCAGTTACTCCCTTTCAAAGCACTGAAGTGCCACAGGGATGGGGTTATGTTCCTAAACTACAGCTACTCATCTACAATGTAATATGGAAGTATTGATTCTTCACAGCAACAGAAATACTCCTTCGAATAAAGATATTCACATTTCCATCACCACAAATATCTGAGTTCTACGTCTTCTCTTTCTTCCATTTACATCTACTAAGCACACTTGGCAACAATACCTTAACTGCTCTTACATTTTTGTGTTGTATGTGTTATTTAATTTATGTATCTGCATATAGCATATCTATTTAGGTATACCTATAGCACTTCACACTGTGAAGTGAAAAAAACACTGAAATATTAACTTAGATTTCTCCAAGGAGGACTGCCCTGCTTACTCTTTAACACTCTTAAATGCAACTGGGATTTTCAAAACTTTTAAATTTTGCTAAGAATTAATTTAACCTACTTTCACAGCCCCTCTGTGCAAGCTGTAAACAAATTCAATTCAAATACTAGTTCTCTTGATGAAGGATTCATGAAATCTGCTCTAAATTCTTGAATTTGACTCTAATACATATTTTGTACCATCAAGACACTGTGCTTTCAGTTGCACCCACTTTTATTTACAAAAGTCCAAGAAAAGGTGGTTGATGTAATTGCTTTCTCTGTTGAAGTGCACATAGTTGAGTTGTAATGTCACTTGTTTTCCGTAACTGAAATATTTTTAACAAAGCAAATTAAAGTTAAGATACGATCATTTCTCAGTTAACAATGAAGATTACAGCAACTGAGATACCAGACAGAGCTCCTGAAAAAAATTATTCCCTTGAAGCATTACCCTGCACTTGCTGCCCCAGTTTCAGCATAATCAGGTGCATCATTCACTGGCACAGTGAGAACTGCTTAGCACAACTTTCTGTAGAACTTTTTACTTGACACAAATCACAATAAAAATTGTACTTACAACGACAAAGATGGACAGTCCTTCATTCTCCACCCAGTTACCCATGATTGCCTGAGATGTGTGTGCACAATAGCCCCACTCTCTCTGGGACAGCCTCTATGTCTTCTCTCATAAGGAAGTGAGAGTAGAAGCTTGCAGCAACCTGTTTCCTTTCTCATTCATTTAGGAAATAAGTTAACCATTGAATCATGTTCACAGTTCTCCTTCAAACATGTTTCTACTATCTTTACATATAATTTTTCATTACCCAAATATATATAAACTATTGAAATAGCCTACTTTTTCTTTGTGCTACAAAGGATAAAGTAAATAATACAACTGCCCAGGTTTTCTGCTAAAAAATGTATTGCCACTTTATATAACTTTAAATGCTGAGGTGTAATATAGAAAGCACAAAAGAGTGATCTCTGCCCAGACTTGTCATTTTTTATCTCCTCAGGTCTGAGGTGGAGTTCGTGCTGATCCTTGTTGATAAATAATCAATAGCATTATTTCTCTTCCAGTAATTCAGTGTACACAGAAGCTTCAAAATGTAATCTAACACTCCTCTTGTGTAGCTCATTCAAGCCTTGCTAATTCCTCTCTGCTCTGGCCAAAAGTGAGGACACTAGATGGGCTATTTTTTCATATTTTCCACTCTCACTGAGTCCCCGGTCCAGGAACCAGGTCACCACATGTTGTGGTTTAACCACAGCTGGCACCAAAGCACCACACAGCTGCTCACTCACTCCCCTAGTGGGGAGAAGAATTGGAAAAAAACAGTAAACTTTGTGGGTTGAGGTAAGAACAGTTTAATAATTGAAACAAAATAAATAAACAAAATAATAACAACAGCAGTAACAGTAATAATAATTGTAATGAAAAGGAGAGAGAGAAAGGAATAAAACCCAAGAAAAACAAGTGATGCTCAATGCAATTGCTCACCACCCACTGACCAATGCCCAGCCTGTCCCCCAGCAGGGATCTGTGGCTCCCAGACAGTTCCCTCAGTTCACATACTGGGCAAGATGTTCTATGTTATGGAATATCCTTTTGTCCCATTTGGATCAGCTGTGCAGCTGTGTTCCCTCACAGCTTCTTGCACAGCTCTTCGCTGGCAGAGCATGAGACACTGAAAAGTCCTTGGCTTGCACTGCTCAGCAACAACTAAAACATCAGTGTGTTATCAACATTATTCTCATTCTAAATCCCAAACACAGCACTGTACCAACTGTTCAGAAGAAAACTCTACCCCAGCCAAACCCATCACACTATATGAGAAAAAATATTAAACATTTTGCTTTTGTGATTAGAGAAAAATATGGGAAATTTTGCAAATGTACTTTAGCACTTATAAGCCAGAGGATATCTATCTCAAGTGTTTTTGTTAAAAAAAAAAAAAGAAAAATAAGGGAGTTTAATGATCTCTGAATGTTTTGCCTCTGTAGTATTACAATGCCAAAATCTGCAATAAATAGTGCAAAATGGTAGGTTGAAGGAACCTTTGCGATTAAGAGGGACCATCCTTTGTAAGGTCCAGGCCCCTAGGAGCAGCAAGGCATCCTGCCTCCTGATGGCTCATTTTCTCATGTATTCCACCCACTGTGCCTCAGAAATAAAGATCTCCTCCCAAAGTTACTGTCATGAATCTGCCTCCTTTCCAAGGAGGTGTAGTATGGGTTTTTTTAAAGACTGTTTTAGGCTTTAGAATGCAGCAGAAAGGTAGTTTGAGTGGTGATGTCTCTCTGCTGTGACACCCTGTTGGGCCTTGCAGAATTTCATGGATCTGAAAGCCTGAGCCAGCCCAGAGCAGCCTTGTGCTGTGTTGACAGCTTTAGAGCACAGCCACATTCCCACAGGCCTGATCCTGCACCTGCTGGAGGGAGCAGCAAGCTGCTCATTGCATTTGTGTGACTAAAGTTTGCTCACTTGAGTAAATACTGATCTGATCTGCAACTGGAAGTGAGATGGTGAACCACCAATGAGGACAAGAACGGGAGAGGTGGGATAAATCCTATGTAACTCACAGCCGTCAGAAAAGGGACTCTGTACAGCCTGCCTTACTCTCGAACCAGAAACTATATTAAGGTCTGATTGCGGCAGTGATGGGATATTTGATCATGATGTAAAAATGAGGGTGAGGGGACCTGGACCAAATACCCGTGTTGTGGTGAATGTCTCTCTTCCCTCCTCTGCTTCCAACACACCACTCCCCTCATTAAAATTGTCTTGGAATATGGCTTCCATCAGGTGACATAACTGAAACTTAAACAAAGATCCATTACAGAAAAAAACTCATATATTTCTTCATTTTTCCTAAAACAGATAAACACAGCTATGTAAATGATACAAGTGGTTTCTGCATTGTTGTTCCTTCGTGAGATATACAGAACAAACATCTCAGATGTACCCCAGGAATACTTCACCTCCTCATGTGTGCAAGACAGGCAGCATCATAAACATCTTCCTCCTGAAGCCTCTCAAGTTTCAGTAACTGAAAATCAAAATGAAGTCTTCAAAACCTGTCAAAAGGGGTTTGCAGCAACCTCATTTGACAGGCTCTGGGATGGGCCAGGCTCTCATGTGGTATCAGTCGCTTTCATGGCCATTCCAAATGGATCACAGAATCACAGAATGGTTTGGGTTCAAAGGGACTTTAAAGATCATCCAGTTCCAATGCCCCTGCTGTGGGGAGGGAGGCCACCCACTAGACAGGTTACTCAGGGCCCAATCCAGCCTGATCTTGAACACTTCCAGGGATGGGGCAACACTTTCAGGGATGCTGGATGCCATAAGATGGTCTGGTCCCCCATATTTTTGCTTATGGAGGTAGCCTTTGGAAGCTGAACAGTTGGAGCGGTTGGGGAAGGAAAGGAGGGTTGCAGTTCTGAATTGTGGATGTCCATTCTGGCTATGAGAACTAGCCTGTTCTTCCTGTCCAGGAATGGCAGTGTTCTCACTGCCTTTTTCTTCCCCTTGACTCAGGCTAAGCTACTTGCACCTTCTCTGGGGTGAGCAAGTGCAGGCATCCAGGATGCTCTGTGCTTTGCAGCTCTGCCTTGCCTGGAACCTCCTCAGACACCACAGCCCCTGAAACATGGATTTAGTGGCTCAGGAGGTTTCTGAGAGGCCACAACCCCAGCAGGGGCTGATCTTGGATCAGTCACAACAGTCACAAAGTCTGATGTTGTCCTCTTAACAGCCTGAATACAGGCCATGAAATGGAGTATATTTCAGCTGCCCCCAGCCTAGCAATTATTAAATGCAGACACTGCCTGAAATCAAAAGAAAGGGCAGAGGTGCTGTGCCCTTCCACAGCTGGTGAGTTCTGATGCTCCCTGATGTTTGTGATTTTTCCTATTAATTTTAAAAGTCACATGACAACACACAGGAAACGTTGCCCGTTGCAAGTGTGAGTATAAACATCACCCAAACCACCCACACATCACTCCTAATTTAATTCTGGTGCTTCCACCTTCTGAATGAGTGGAACATCTTTGCTATTACAAAAACTTCCGTGTTTTGTACTTTGTTCTAATTTGAAAAATGCATCCTGTACAAGAAAAGGCAACATTGGCAACTGTGTATTAATTAAATAGGAGTGTAAAACTGGAGAATGGAAAAAATTAAATGCTATCTCATTCTGTTTCTAAAATTTCTCTCAAACTACTTGTTATCCACAGCATTTTTCATCCTTCTTTGCACTGAAAAGGTTAGTGAACAGGGATCCTTTTGCAGGATGACAGTATTGCAAAAGTGTTCAGGTCTCAGGATTTTTCATTTCCTTGCAGTAATTTTACCCCATTGCTTTGGAACTAATTTAGTTCCTCTCCTACTCTGTGCAACAATGGTCTGTGCATTGCTGCACAGATTTAAGGGCAGACACTTGCAACTGGCCTGGGGATTTCACACCTGCCTCCTAAAAGGGACAATGAAAAATTCTGCAAGTATAAACCCCAAAAGAGAGAGTGATATGAAGAACAGAGGGAAAGAGACCCAGCACCTCCTTCTCATGTAGCAGGAGGAAAACCAAGGAGAGACCTTGATTAACCTCTTTTGTTTTGCATGCTGAAGTCTTTATTTTGAATCCTGTGCAATACTTGTTTACCAACCACCCCTTGATTCTACACCAAAGAGGAAGAAGCAAACAAGAGGCTTGTCAAGCTGTCTTCCCTGAAGGGATTCTTCACATACAGCCTGAGGCTGTCACTGTAGGCACTTGCCTTCACTCAAGGGAACGACACAGTCTGAAACTTCTGCTCTTTCTGTTTTGTTTATAAAATAAATTATTCCATGCTGAGATAAGGGCAGAAAAGAGGATAGATATGAGATAGGAAAAAATATGTCAGTGAGACTCCAGTAAGGACTGGTGGATCCTTCTAGGTCTTTGCTTTACACTATAACTCTTGACATAACCCTGCTCCTGTACTTCCTCACACTGCCTTTTGCAATGATCATGAGAGACCCACGTGCTGTATTAAAAAAAATCCATGTATGATCCAGATGCTATTTGCCACACCACTCTTGGCTTGAAATCGAGCAGCACTATCAGAAAATGGGCCAGAATGGCCAGACACTGCCATGTTATTGGAAGGAAGAGCCACCACCAGCAACATACCCTGCATACAGAAATTTCATTACATTAAGCAGGCAGTAGTTTCCAAGTAGAGCTAGAAGAAAGTTATATACATGTATATATATGAAATAAATATATATTTTATATATATATAAAACAAACATATATTTATACACACACACATATATATACATATACATTATACAGAATAATCTACCACAGAATAAAGGCAGAGGCTTTGCATGGGACTGAGGGAGAGGAAGCCCAGCTCACAGGCTTTCTTTAGGGTCCCAGCCTTCATGATCTGCTAATTCGGCTCTGGAACACAGCTATTATCTTTGCTCTCACTCTGTAGCGAGACTTCTCGACTTCTCTTCCCAGTGCTTCAGATCCACTTCGTTTACACGTGCCGGTGACAGCCCAGGGTAACTCACCTGTGCCTGAGGAAAGGGACTTCACCAGCGATTTCCCACTCAAGAAAACACCTCGGAAGATGTGAGAGAGGGCAGTTTCTCCTAAGTCGGTGGTTCTCCAGCCCGAGCGCTCCCGGC